CTCCTTCTTCTGCTCCTCGGTGGGAGCGGCCGTGCTGCCGGCGGCGGCACTGGCCGAGGCGCTCGTGCCCGTCGTCGACGTGTTGGCGGACGAAGAAGACTTCTTGAGCTTCTCGTACACACCGTAGATCTGCTGGAGGTTCTGGGTCCCGACAGCGTCGGTCAGGGCCTGCTTGTCGCTGGGGTCAATCTTGAACGAGTCGGCGATGCACTGGACGGCGACATCGATCGAGTCCTTGTCGTCGGCGGGAAGGGTGCCGTCGGCGACCGAGGTCGACAGGAAGTCGCAGATGGCGAGCGCCAGGCGCTGTTGGGATGTTTGGGCCTGCACATGATTAGCTGTGGATTGGCATCAGAGGGGGCCAGCTTCAACAGAAAAGAACCATACCATTGTGTGAGACTTGCGGGATGTGCAGATGGTGTTGGCAGATGTTGTCAAGACCAAAGTCGCCAGTCGTGTCGAGGAAGTAGTGTTCTTTCTAGACCTGGTTCTTCAAAGTCGCCGCGGTGACGGGTGACGGACGGTTTGGTGGGCTGGAAGGTTCCAAACGTTGGACGGTCGGCAAGGTGGGGGTGTTCTTGGGCTGCTTAATTGCATTGTGCGATCATCACCCCGCATCATATGCGACAAAGCACTTCCTTACGCCACCAGACCAACCACGAGCATCACGGATCCTTTTGCCTGTCGAGACCTGTTATGAGGCCTCTGTATTCGTGGCCTTGGGAGAGTCTCTTGTCGTCTTGCATCTGAATTTGTACACTGTTCCGCCGTGATCAAACCACAAACGCCCGCTTTCATGCCCCTGCGTACCTCACAACGATCCCGGCCTCTTCCTGTCTACATTTCGTACCTTGCGGAGCGGCCTGTTGACCGCCCTCCTGTACTTTGTGTACAGCTTGAAAGCATCCCGCAGCACCAGATACATGCACCCACCCACCAAGCTCCTGCCCCACGTCTGCTGCAGCAGCCCAGGACGCCCAAAAGGCTTGCCGCTCAGCGTCGTCAGGTGCTTCGGCAACAGAAGCTGGAGGAGCTCGCCGGCCCCCGACGAGATGGCCGGCAGGAGAAGCGCGCTGGCAAGGGCGTTGGCCACATCACGAAGACTGGCGTGTAAGTTCCACTGTCGCTGATCGTTCAGTGGCGGAGGCGCTGCTGCTGCTGCTGCTGCGCCCGCGACCCTCGGTGCAGGCGCGGCCTCGTGTTCGTCGTGTCGTTGTTCCCGTATAGCGTTGAGGTCCGGAATCTGCTCACCGTCGGCCGGTACCTCAAACTCGACGTCCTCGTGAATCTCGACCCGGAACCCCTCTTGGCCCAGCCGAGGGTCGTCCTCGCCGACGTGGACAATCTGCTCTTCGACCTGAAGTTCAACATCGACCTCGGGGATGTCGAGCAGGTTGATCGCCGCGTCAAGCATGCCCGCGATGCCGCCCTCGTCGTCGTGATCGTGATCATGATGGTCGTCATGTTGGTGCCCATGGCCCCGCTGCCCCTGATCCTGCCGCGGCTCCGGCTCCGGCAGCCCGGCTATCCTCCTGTCGAGCTTGTTCTCATAGGGGCGGATAAACTCGCGCCACAGGTTTCTGTACATGGCGCGCACGTAGGGGAAAGCCGTGCAGACCAGTTCGGGCGAGGGCGGCCAGGAGAAGAAGTGCTCGTCGCGGGCCATGTGGAACGTCCCAAACTAGTCGTCCGTCCGTCAGTCAAAGCCCAACACGGCAAGGTCACAGAAAAGCGAAACGTACCAGCGCAGCCAGCGGCAGGGAAAATGACGTTGCCCAGTCCGGGAATCGAATGCGAGAGGATCAACGTCGGTGCAACGGCACCCAGCCCGAGATAGCGCCCGAGCCGCGCGCCGTGCTCCTGCCTCGGGTCGTTGAGAAAGTGAAATCGCGCCTCGGGGCCGGCAAAGACGTGAAGCGCAACGTCGCCGTAGGTCGCGAGACCGAGCCACGTGCCGATGGCGAGGCCCGTGCCGAGCAGCGGCGGCGACAGGCGGCTGAAGGCCTGGTGAGGCGGTTGCCGACGGCGACGCCGGGGTCAAAGGGCTCGTCGACGGAGATTGGCGGCCCTTGCAGACGGGCACTGGAAGGGCTTGTTCTCGCGCTCGAGCTTCGGCGAGCCAGTGCATCATGCAGTCCTGGTGGCCCTCGAGCGAGCACGGGCAGGGGTGGACCCATTCCTCGCCCGCGGACTCGTCTTGGTCGGTCAGGCAGACGAAGCAGCGGCCTACGGCGGCGGGGGTTTCGTTGGCGGCCATGGCTGTCGTTCTTCGGTTGGGTTCGTCGCTATGCTGCGAGACCTCGGGGACTGATGACGTCGTGGGGCGCGTGGACTTGCGTCAGTGTCGTGAAGGGCGGGAGGAGCCCAAAGAAACGGAGCTAGGTCTTGACGAGCATGTCAGAGGGGGTCAAAAGTTGAGGTGATGTTGTGAGGTGTGTCGACAGACGCGGTCTTGGGGAGACGCAGGCACACCTTTGCTCTCGGCTGATTTCGTTGGGAGCAAGCGCTGTCGTCCCGAAAGCTCTGGTCGTGTGACATCAGCAGTAGAGGCAGTTGCACAGTTGCTGTGAGCTCGGCCTGAGATCGCCTTGCACTAGCCGAAAGAGGTTAGCGTTAAGTCGAGGCCGCGGTCACGACAAATGGAGCATATGCGCCATGTGAAGCTGGTCAGACCTTTACATCCTGATTTTGTTCCTTCGTTGTATTGAAGAAGAAAAAAAGGAAAAACGTTCACGACACGTCCCATGTCCTATAACATCTCCTGCATCACTGCCAGTGATCTCTTTGACACTACGCCACCGTAATGTGCGTCCGGGCCGGGCCTTTCAAGGCACCGACCGAGTCAAGTCACAGCAGACGATGTGAATGTCTTCAGAGATGGAGCAAAAGGCACAGACCCATTGAATACACATGCACGCTCGTAATGGCTCGTCAACATTTGCGTCCGGCCTTCTCCGCTATGTCTACTGCAAAAAAAATGTACCATCGCTCAAACTCATTAGACCTGTTCTACTCTAAGCACTTGTATGCGTGACCATGGTCAGCGCCTGATCTCGCCTCCCCCCCCCCCCCGGGACGCCGGGAACAACGCTGGGTGAAGCATGTTCTCCCAATTTTGATCCATCTGCCCGTCCGTCTGTCATTCTGCGTGCCTCCCCGGGACAGCTCTCGTCTATAGCCGGAAAGCGCATAACTCATTCTCCCACCGCCCCACTATGCATGGCCCGCCGACTGTGCCAGCTCGTTGAGCTTGCCCTGGTCCTCGGCATTCAGCAGGCCGTACCACTCCTTGAAGTTGGCCACGTCCTCTCTGGGGGCACGCAGGAAGAACTCGGTCAGGGACGCCTGCGTCTCGTCGTCCCGCTGGCGGTTGCCCGAGGCCTCGATAAACGAGAGCAGGTCGTCCTTTGTGGATCCGAAACTGAGGTCGAGCGTGTCTGGGTCATCCTCCCAGCCGTCGTCGTCGTTGGCCTCGTCCTCAAACTCGCGAGCCGCCGCCGCCGCCGCCGCCGCCGTTGTCGACGCATTGTTGGCGCCCGACGCGGAAAGGAGTTCCTCGATGAGGACCTTGAGAATCTTGAGCGTCGCGGGCACAATGGTGTATTTGTCAGGGTCTGCCAGTTCCAGTCAGTAGTGGTTCTCAGGGCCGTGGGTTCGGTCGGCATTGCACATACTAGCCTTGGCGCGCGAACGCGTCATGATCTTTCCCTCGTCGTTGCTCGGGAGCAGTTCGCCGCGCACTTGAATCTGCGACAGGCGAGGATCGTTCAGCGAGTACAGCTTGGAAAGGGCGATGACGTTCTGACGAATCTCGTCGTAGCCGGCAAAGTTGACAGAGTTCTCCAGCCACTTGCTCATGACCACTTGCAGGCCGCTCTCGTTGTTGATTTGGATCTGGCTGAGGAACTCCACAACGTCGTGGGCACCGGTCAGAGACAGACGCGCGAACACCAGGATCAGAGACTGGATGAATTGCGCAGCCTCGGCAGACGCTAGCCTCGTCGCGACAGCTTCGAGCAGCTTGGGAAGGAAGGGTCCGAGCCTCTCGTTGCCGGCCTTCTCCACGAGCTCGACAGCGAGACCGCCGACTTCGGATGCCGAGTTGTCCTCGATGGAAGAGCCGAGCAGACGGTCGATAATGCGCAGGCACACCTCGAGCCCCGACTTGCCGCCCTCGTTCCAGGCAAAGACCTGGTGGTGGTCGTGCTGCAAAAGGTACTTGACAGCTTCGGAACCTGGCCGGAGCACCTCACCCTCATTCGAGTCCATCAAGACTTTGTTCAACTTAGGCAGGGTAGCAGCGACGAAGCCCGCAGGCAGAGGCTCCGAGCCGTGTTCGATGAGCACGGTCAGGAGCTCCACGGCGGTCTAGAAGAAGATCAGCGTGATCCAGCTTTGATGCCCTTGGTGTGTGGCCTTACCGTCACGAGGGGGTCGTTCTCCGTCACGGCCGCCGTGTTGAAGGCAGCAATCAGAGTGGGGAGGACCTTGGCACAGAGGGCCGCGTAGGAGGCCGAGTCGGACAGGCTACGGACAATATCCTCAAAAGCCTCGCCCACCAGCATGAGTGCCTGGAAGTTGGACGAGGCGTACTTGGCGATGTGGAACAGAAGATCGACGGACTGCACATCCTGTGCCTGAATGGCGACCCGAGCGTCCAGGTTGATGGCCAGACGGATGGTCTCGGCGAGAGTCACGACGAGCTCCTCATACGCCTCGAGGTCATCGGGGTCCTTGTCCTGCATGTACTGGGAGATGGCGTTGAGCATAGGTACCTGGCGATCAGCAGGGACTCTGCCGGAGCGCATGAAGTACTCAAGAGCCTTGATACAGGAGAGCTGAACGACCTCCTCGCCCTCGGTCGTGATGCAGGCAATGGTACGGTCAAGAAGCGCGGCAGGGGTTTGGACAGCACGGGTCAAGTTGCCGCCGAGCAGGTAGCCACGGGCGCGGAGGTAGGGCTCCTCCGACTGGTTGATGGAGTAGTCCACGAGGGCGAGGTAGGCCTCGGTGATGTGAGAAGGAATGGACTTATCCATGTCGTGGAAATCGCTGAGAAGCATGCTGAAAAGAAAGAGTGAAGCCTCCTGGGTCTTCCAGGGGGCCTTGTCGCCGGAGAAGAGAGTCTGCGTGTAGGCGAAGACAGCGTCGACCGTCTTTTGGCTGTACCACTCGCCCAGCTTGATAAGCAGGTCGCTGGCAGCAATACGCGCCGTGTAGTTGGCCGATGCCGACGTCTCCTCGACCAGGTAGAGGGAGCAGTCGATGTCCCACATGCCCTGCTCCTCGCTACCGATGCGAGAGTACGATGCCAGCATGCTCATGACCTCGACCATCCACGAGGACTCACCGGACGTGGCGCTCTGCTCCAACTGGCGGGCGAGCTCGGCGACGACGGGCGGCGCCCTGAAGCACTGGTTGAGGAAGTCCAGCTCCTCGACGACAAGGTAATCGAGGGTGAACGGCAGGGCGTCCGAGTCCTCCATGCGGCCTTGGGTGGCGTTGTTGATGTAGAGGTTCTCGTAGGGTGTCTGCAGCGTCTTCAGCTCGGACCAGACAGTCGAGAAGAGGTCGACGCTCTGCGGGGTCATGAGGTTGCTGAAGACATTCTTGATCTTCAGAAGCGTCTTGACCGACTGGATCTTGATGGAGATGACGCCATTCCACGGCTCGGGCTGGCGAAGATCACCAGGGCCGGCGGCAGGCGCGTCGGGCAAGGGCGTCTTGAGGACTTGCAAGAAGAAGGGGAACCACTGCTTCAGTGCTTCATCGGCAAAGGCCTTGACGTCCGTCGGGTGGTCCTCCTTGACAATATCCATGAGGTCGAAGCAGCCGCGGAAGATGGACACGGCCTGGGCGCGAAGGCTGGGGCGGCGGTTCTCGTCAAAGGCGACCTGCGTGACGGCCTTGACAATCTCTCGGGCCATGGAGAAGAATTGGTCCTCGCTCAGGCTTTCGTCAATGACATCGCTGAGAATCTTGAGGCCGCCGTAGATCTGGGCGTCGGTCCCGCTGGGAATGACGGCAAAAAGGGCGGGTAGGAGGTGAGGCCAGCGCTCGGGGAAGTCGTACGAGGCAATCTTGCCGACAGAGTAACTGGTCAGGGCCTTGATCTTCTTGTCGCCCTCGTCGTTCAGCGCGAGCTGGAGCAGAGCATTTCGAAGGGTGTCCCGTGTGGCGTCGGGGATGTCAATCATGGGCTCTTCGGCGCGGTCCTCGTCCTGCCCCCAGTTCCTGGCAATGAACTTGTTCAGCGTGGTCAGCGCGAGCTGACGCACGGCAACGTCAATGGAGGCATGGCTGGCAATGTTGACAAGAGCGGTCGGGAAGGCGGGGTTCGCGCGGGTTCGCTGCAGCTCGATTTCTGCCTGCTGCCGCTTCGTCTGGCTCTGAGGCTCGGCCGAGGCGTGCGCGACGTCGTTCAGCAGAGAAATCAGCTGGTCCTCCATAATGGGCGCTGCGACGCTGGCGTCTGCACAGCTTGGGGGGGGGGGGGGTGTGAGGGGCCGAGGAAAGGGCTATCGGCAGTTCGGAATTCGCTTCACGCGAGGATGGCAGTCGAAAATTCAACACCTCTGTTTTTTGGCGTGAGGTGGAACGTTTTGGCTGGGTATTTGGGTTGGAAGGCTGCTTGAAATCGAAGTCGAGGTCGAAGCTGCAGTCGAGATCGAGGAGGTGAGAAGTGGGGTGGGAAAAGACAACAAGTGCGCATGGAACAATTATCACGGAAAGGTCAAGGCACAGCTCAGCACAAGCAGATGCATAGAAAGAAGCACGGGCAGGCACGAATGGAGGGGTGCAGTGTGGAGTTTGGTCAGTGTGTCTCAGGTCGTTTTTTTGGTGGGGTAGATATTTTGACGTTGGCAGCTGTGCAGGGAAGAGGGAAGCAGCCCATGCGCACGCCGCCGTTGTCCAATGTTTGTTGACTTGGTATGTCCGATGCCGCCCGTGGCTGCACCCACGACCCCTGACAGAACTTGGACCAGGGAGGCGGCGAGTCCTGCTCGGGCCCTTGGGATCCTGCCGGCATGCAATCGTGAGAAGATGATGCGACAGCCGGCACGCAAGCACGCTGCGCTGAACATGGTCTGATGGTGCCGGCGCTACTGGATGGAACCAGGGGGTCGTCGGTCGCCTTCTGGCTATGACCACCCCAGCATCTCAGACGCTGCCGAATCTACCGGGCACGCCACGATATCGACCAAGCTTTTGGTGAAACGAAACAAGTCGATTCTCTCTCACAGTGACATCGTCATTACGGCCAGGCTTTTTCAGCAGGCTTATTTGGCAGGCTTATTTGGCAGGCTTACTTAGCAGGCATAGTAGCAGGCTCACCTAGCCTTGCCAAACAACAGCATGAGCCTTGTGAGAGACACGCAAAAGAATTGCGCAGAGCATCGACACGTCATGAACATGTTCGAAATTGCAAAAACAATGGACAATGCGCGAATCGAACGCGCGACCTTCAGCAAGCAAGTATCCAGGATCAGAAGACCTCGTCGGATGCTAAGCAGACGTTATACCACTAAACCAATCGCCCTTGAATGATTTCGCCAACAGACCCACGGGCTCATCGCCAGCAAGGTGCTGGCGTTAGGGCTCGATCGCTCTCCTTTTCGGGCAGCTTTCCCACCTGGATCGGACTCCGGTGGGTGGAACTCGGTCGTGGGCTCCACAGGGACGGCGCTTTCGCGGGGTGACATCGGGGCACGTTGCACAACTATGATACATTGAATGCCGTCCCTTCGTGGACAAATCTTTTGCGGGTAGAATGGTTTCAAGCATGGCATGTGTTTTCAAAACAGGTGCTTTGGATGGAGGGCAATGCTCTGGGCGCTCACAAACTACTGTGCTCAAGGAAGGAGAGAAACCATCATCGGAAACCAACAAGAGATCTCGGTGCGTAGTCCCAGGTTCGCCAATATCTCGACAAACTGCGCGATATACTCGCGGCTGCGTCTTTCGACATCGCTGAGGACGCCCCGAGCCCTCGCTGCGTTCCAGAAAGCGTGGCTTGCCAATCTCTCGAATCTTGACAATCTGTTTCGCGTCAGAACAATCGGCGACCGAGGAAACAATCTTTTCGAGGCAAGGCGGCAACTCACCATCGACGAGCCGTTCGACTCGAGCGTCCAGGCTGAACAGTAATGCACAACGTCAAGAAGCTCCCGGGCAACAGATTCCTTCAGTTGCCACAGTTGTTCGCGGGCGGAAGTGTCGGGCGTAGCTGGGTCGCTTGCTGGCGAGGTCCCCTGGCTGCCGGCTCTTGCGCCGTGGTCAGATCGCTCAACTTTGTCGAGGCACATTTCCAGGATCATGGATTGAAGGTAGATGCTCGTGATGTGAACGTTGGCTCGCATTATGTCAAATTGGGGCGACACGGCGGGTAGAGCACCTCTTTCGGCGTCATACGTGGCAGGCGAACCTCGTCGACGCGGCATTCGAAGCTCAGGCGGCAGGTTGCTCAGCGTCGTGTTGAGTCTTGTCATGACGTGGAAAAGAGAGTCCAGCGTGGGTATTGATCCTTGAAACTTCGGTTTCTGTCGCTCGTCGTTGTCGAGAAGACGCGGCACGAGGGTGCCAGAGGACAGGTGGTATGCCTGTGGAGGGCCGGGAAAGGCCTTGTGCAGGAGGTCAACGATGCAGAGGAATACCTTGATCAAGGCAATGAAGCCTGAGATCATGGGCAACGGCCGATCGCCTGGCGCATGGCGGGGCATTTGGTCCAGAGCCCGGTGGCCAATTTCGTCGTCGGCGAGTTCCAGCGGGAGCAAAAAGTCCCAATCAGTCGACAACGGGTCGTAGCTGAGGCCGGTGTGCGGGATGACAAACGACATTCGGTCGTGGCTACGCGACATTAGCATTCATCGCGACAAGAATCGATCACGCTGCTGTTCATACATCTGAAAGATGAACAACAGCCAGAAAGCCCGTTTGCACATCTCGGCCTCAATGGGGGTGAAGCGCAGGTAGCTGGCCTTCTTGTACAGCTCCAGGGCTCGGAAGTAGAGGATGGCCTCGCCGGCATAGCTCCACCCAGAAGCCGTGCGGCCTGCGTAGAGAGCGGCGATGGTCAAGGCCAGCGAGACCAGCATGGTGTCCATCGTGGGCTGGTCCTGCCACATGGGCTCGCTCCCCAGGCGGCTCAGTAGAATGAGCTGGGATGCTCTGTCGACCATCTGGCCAACATCGGCGTACAGGGATGAGCCATAGACTGTGATTCTTCGGGGAATAGACGCCACTGTGGCGGCACAGAGGGATATGGTCAGGCGAAGGAATACGGGGTCGGTTTCATAGCGTCGCGCGCAAAAGGCGGCTTGGTATGTGGCGACGTGCACAATGGGAAGCACGGGATAGACGCGGTCGAAGAAGTCGTCAATGATGATCTTGAGGGTGTATTCCGGCACAAAGTCTGTGATGGACACATGTCCGACGGGTAGCTGCTGAAGCCGATGGGGTTGGTGGATCGGGTGCGTCTGTGTCGTCTGTGGGAAGCTCGTAGCGGCGGCGGCGGTGGTGGTGGTGGTAGTGGTGGTGGGACTTGCGAGTGCGACGAATGAAGGCGTCGTTGGCGTCTGGGGCTCGTCGCTGGTGCTGGCGGTGGCAGCGCGCTGCTTCGCCTCGGCAACACGCCTACAGATGGCGACAATGTCAGAGCATGATCCCGGACGGACTTGGGCGCCTGACGGTCGGTCGGCGGGGAGGGGGTGTACCTGCTAGGCGGGCCTCGTGGCTTTCGTGTGGTCAAGAAGGTGCATGGCACCTCCGCCTTCTGACATTTTTGGCACGTAGTCGAGGAAATCTCGTGGTTGAATACACACTGCTCAGGAACCAGATCAGCATTCTGCAGTGCTTAGCACCCCGGGCGCTAAGGTAGGTGGGGGATGCCAGGTTGAGGATGAGGTTGAGATCGATTGGTGGTGCCTACCTGGATCTTGCGCTCACGGCAGAGATCGCATGCCTTTCGGGCGATCGAGCGGCCCTTTCTGGAACTTTCAGCCATTGGAAGCGCATCGCGAGAGGTCGTAGGAGCTGTCGCCGGGGAGGTTGGCTCAGGGTTCACATGGCGCATGCAGCCATGGACCCAGGCATATTTGCGTCGTCAAGTTGCGTTGCGCGCGGCGGCAGCGGATCCAGGTCGACGGTTCGTCGTTCGACTGTGGAGTCTTTCGTTTCGCGTTCCTTGCCCGCCGCCCCTGCCCCGCGTGGAGAGACGATCAGAGGTATGCATTAAGGCGGATGAGTTGGATGGTGTTCCCGTGCTTGTAATTATCGGGTCTTATGACGTTGTCCAAACGAACGCTGTTGTTTCCCGGAAATGGAAGCTACCATAGGTACTCTGCCAAATTTCTTCCAGGACTGACACTTGGTACGGAACCTACAGGTGCCTTTCAGAGATGCCATCCCTGCTTCTATTTCGTGGCTTGTCGCATCTCGTGACCGACCATTCAGGATCACAGGTTGTCGGAAACCATCAAGTGGAAGATGGAAGTCTATCAGGAACGTGAGACATTGCTGGTCCATTGGCGCTACGCTGCACGAGTCAACCCGACTACCCCCTCTGCTGGTACATGGTGTACTCATCTTAACGAGAGTTCACTAACCAAGCCTGGTATCGCAGGCATGGCTGCCGTCGCTTCAAACCCCGACTTCTCAAAGCCGATGACGAAGCCTGTGAAGAATCCATCATGCAACCATGCCTGGCCTTTTTCACGCTGATGTGCAGTACGTTCACGGTTTCTTACCGGGAATAAGAAGAAGCCTTGACAATAGCTGTCTTCGCAGTCCGTCTCTTCCACACTACGCGTTCGCTTTTCCCCGCAGTCGGTGTCGGTAGCCAGCGTCGGGAGTTGGAATCGCGGGGCACTCTCCACCGATCTGGAGTTGCTCTTCACGGAGGCCCCAACGACTATCGATTTAGAAACCAAAACGCCAAGGAGCTTCCAGAGGAAATAATCGGCTATAAAACCATATGCTGTCATTGCCAATCCACGAGCTCTCATTGAGGGGTTGGCCAAGCTCCACGGACATCGAAACGGCACTTCGTGGGGTACGGAACGTGCACCCGACAAACTACCCACCAGCCGGACTATTTGACTTGAGCCTCTGACAATCGCGAGAGAGAGTTGTGCCTAGGGTCGCAGTATAAAGTCCTGGTATTTGCCCCACGGCAACAGAGCCCTGGCAAGCCGTCCCTGTTCACTATCATCCGATACATCCGCTTCGCTCACAAGACAGCAACACCGCTCAAGGCACGCTCACACAATGTCCATTGCTAGTCTGATCTTGTCGCCATGGACGGCGCTGGCCGCTTTTGTGTTTTACTACTTGTACCCATATTTCTTCACGTATAGTCAGTTCCGAGATATTCCAGGTCCGCTACTGGCACGCCTCTCCAACGTCTGGCTCTTTGCAACCGCGCGACGAGGTAAACGGTTTCTGCTCGTCCACGAGGCCCACGAAAAATATGGTCCTGTCGTGCGCATCCAACCAAACCACATCAGCATCGACAACGACGAGGCCATCCAAGCCATATACGGCCACGGCAATGGCTTCCTGAAAGCGTAGGCACTTTGCACCATACACTTGCTTCCTGTGGTCCGGCCAGTCAACGAGGAAACTGACATGCTCCAGCGACTTCTATGACGCCTTTGTCTCCATTCGCCGCGGTCTCTTCAACACGCGCTCCCGCGCCGAACATAGCCGCAAGCGCAAGATTGTCTCGCACACGTTCAGCGCAAAGTCCATTGTCGAGTTTGAGCCCTATATCCACCACAACCTCGAGCTCTTCGTTCAAAAGTGGGATGAGCTCGCTACGCGCGCCGCCACGACGAGCCCCGACGGCGCCGTCCATGTCGACTGTCTGAATTGGTTCAACTACATTGCCTTCGACGTTATTGGTGACCTCGCCTTCGGCGCCCCCTTTGGCATGCTCGAGTCGGGCGCCGACGTGGCTGAGGTGCGCGAGTCGCCTGACAGCCCGCCCGTCTACGCCGCAGCCGTCGAGATCCTCAACCGCCGCGGCGAGGTGTGCGGCACCCTCGGCTGCATGCCCGACCTCGTGCCCTACGCAAAGTGGCTGCCGGATCCTTTCTTCAACAGAGGCCTGGCTGCCGTCAAGGACCTCGCCGGCATCGCCATTGCCCGGGTGCGCCGCCGCCTTGATGCCCCACCGCCGCCCGACCGCAAAGACCTCCTCGCGCGCCTCATGGAAGGTCGCGACGACAAGGGCGAGCCCCTCGGCCGCGAAGAGCTCACGGCCGAGGCTCTGACACAGCTCATCGCCGGCTCCGACACAACCTCCAACACGTCGTGCGCCTTGCTTTACCACGTCGTCCGCACACCGGGCGTCGTCGACAAGCTCCAGGCCGAGCTCGACGCTGCCGTCCCCGCCGACGTGCCGGTGCCCACCTTTGATCAGGTCAAGGAATTGCCGTACCTGCAGGCTGTCATCAACGAGACGATGCGCTACCACTCCACCTCCGGTATCGGGCTGCCGCGGCTCGTGCCCCTCGACTCGTCCGGCGTCGAGATTCTCGGTCGCTTCTACCCACCAGGCACGGTGCTCAGCGTGCCGACGTACAGCGTCCATCATTCGAAGGAGATCTGGGGCCCGGACGCCGACGAATTCAGGCCGGAGCGGTGGCACAACGTCACGGAGCGCCAGAAGAACGCGTTCATCCCGTTCAGCTACGGGCCTAGAGCCTGCATTGGCAGAAACGTCGCCGACATGGAGCTCAAGCTGATCGTGGCAGCGTGGGTGAGGAGGTATGACGTCGTTTTGCGACAGGACGTCATGGAGACACGCGAGGGGTTCCTCAGGAAGCCAGTCGCGCTCGAAATCGGGTTCAAGAGAAGGCAGTAGACGATGGCAGGCAATGGCGAGGCATTCGAAGCCGATGTTACAGTGTGTTTTCTCGCACCTGGAGGATTATGGCTATTGATACCCCCCAGCATGCAGCAAACATGAACCACCCAAATCGAACAAGATCTACAAGCTCGGTATTGCACAACGTTGGGCGGGATGTGATCAACGAAGTGGACATGTACTGACTAGACAGACGGTGTATCGTGAGCTGTTCATGATGCTCAAGAGCAGGTGATGGGTGCAGTCTAACTCGTTCTATGCTGCCGTGGGACGTCTGCCAACTATGTCCCAAGTCCCCGCATCTTGTGCGCCCCCCCCCCCTTTCTGACGCACACTACAACGTCGCAACATCCTCATGACATGATTCTACCTTTTTGTCGCTCACGAACACACCTCATAGACTCCGCCCAATATCCCTCCCAGTCTCTTGATGCACGCCGGCTCCGTTCCGCAGCGGCATCTCAGCCTCAATGACACGCTTAGGCAGCGCATACCCGATACCGAAAAAGACGAAGAATGCCCACTTCCAGCGGAAGGGGTTGAACGCTATGCAAAACGTGAACCACCAAACGAGCTCAGTGTAGGTGAAAAAGTCAAAAGCGGCGATGGGCGAGGCGGACTTGAGCAGCCGCGTAAAGTCAATCCAGAGGCGCATCCATGTCGGGTTGGGCCGCGTCAGCGGGTCGACGAGGAACATGAGCAGGATGCGGGTGTAGATGCCAATGTGCCAGTTTCCAACGGTGCCAATGGCATTGACGTACGTACTGCAGAGGTCAGCGTCTTGTCACTATGCGACACAGGGTGCGTTGGGCTTACCAGTTAATGGCCGAGATGGAGGGGTGGTTCGGAGGGAACGTCTGAAGGTACCAGTTGGGTGGGTCGTACGGCTCGTCGAAGCAGTCGTCAGGCAGGAAGGAGAGCGAAGGGCGCTTGAAGCCAGTGGCCATGACGATCACGTCGGCGGGGATTGTTTCGGTCCTCCCCGGTCCACCCTTGGGCACCCCCTTGGAGCGGCGGTTGATAACGATGCCATCCTTGGTGAAATCTTCAATGTCGCCACGGATCCAGTCGGCCTTGCCCTCGCGAATCTTGTCCAGCACATCGCTGTTGACCATGGGCGTGTCCTCGAAGATGCCCTTCTGGGACGGCGCAATGTCTGACAGATCGCGGTAGAAGAGACGGCGCAGAAGCAGCTCCGGGACCCAGGAGAGAACCGTTTCCTGGCCAAACACATTAAAGGCGAGCAGCATGTTGACCAACGGGTTCCTAGGGATGATCCACTTGTCGCTCCTCGAGAGGATGTACGTCTTGTCGGCATCCTCGGCCGCAGCGAACTCGAGCGCCTCGACAGCACTGGCGCCGCCGCCAATGACGGCAATCTTCTTGCCCTTGGCGCTCTTGCCCGTCAGCTGGCTCGAATGGTAGACAGGACCCTGGAACTTTTCAATGCCGTCGACCTTGGGTATCTTTGGTTCGCCACATGTGCCGACGGCGCCGATGATGCCCTCGAACCGACCATTGGAAGTATTGTTGACGATCCAACGGCCCTTGTCATCCTGGTACACCTTGTTGACAGGCGTGTTAAACTTGGTGCGTGTATCCAGACCGTAGCGCTCCCAAAGCTGGCGGACCTGGCTGACGATCTGCTGGCGGTCCGGATAGCCGCGTTCCCAGTTCACCGACGGATGGAAGCGGTACATCATGGAGTGAATCTGGAGGCTCGAGGTATTGTTCACCTTCTGTCGGCAGTGTCAGTAAAAGGGTCCCCAAAAAGTCAAGTCAAACAAGCCGCACACTCCAGATGCCGCCCAGATTTGACTTGGGCCCAGCCTCAAAAATGACAACGTCGAAACCATGGCCAATGCAGTGCGAGGCCGCAGCAACACCAGTGATGCCCGCGCCAATGACAGCAATCTTGGGACGGAGGAGCTGTCTGCTGGGGTTGGGCGGCGTTGGAGAGAGGAGTCTGTTGATGAACCACTGGAGCAGCTGATAGACGAAAAGAAAAGGATGCAGAAGCGGGTTCTGCAAACCGGACTGAGACGGCATGATGAAAGTCAAGGGTGCTTGCAAGCTAGGCGGCGGAGAGAGAAGGAAAGCTCCCAAGGATGAGGAGGGAAGATGAATGTTTAAAGTACGCCAGAGGAAGAAAGAGACACTGGAATGAATCAAGCCACTGCATTGACATGTGAAGGCGGAATGAGGTCGGCGGAGACTTTTGCTGTTTGCCTCCTGGTTCTTCGTCCGAGTTGAAAATGGGGCAGCCGCGTAGCGTCGACGTCACGATGAAATGGGATGAAAGCTGCGTGGATTTTGATTCGACTTGCTCTGGCAAGCCGTCGTTCGATTGACGTTGACACTGCATTAGCTGCATCTTGAACAATACGACAAATCCTAAGGTTTGGGGGAGCTCTCGACAATTCAATGGGTGGTGGAGCACGTCAGCGCGTCGTGCAGTGTCTTGGATCGTGTTGGAATGCCATCAGCCCTGACACGTCTCCATTGTGAGTGCTTCTTTTGGCCCCCCTCTCCCTGAAAACTGAACCGACACATTGAGAGCAGGACGATTCAAGTCTATTCCCCAGCTCTTGCACCCTGTTGCCAACTTCATCTCGCCCAGAATGCCGCCTATCTGCGCCCGCCCCGGTCGCGACGCCCTGCCTCCAGCACCTTGAGCCTCTTCTGGAATCGCTCGCCCATCTCGGGCCCCGCTCCGCTTCCTCGCGGCCCGTCCGTCGTGTCGTGAGTTCTCTTGCGGCTCTTGTCGAGCAGTGCCTTGGCACCCTTGGCGCCCTCCTTCTTCGCCGTGAGCCTGTTGATCCTGTCAACACCATCGCCGAGATCCCGCCACTCTTCACCGCCAAACTGCATACGACCGCTGCGGCCTGCCGCCGCTGCCTCCTTGGCCTTTTGCTTCTTGCTTTGCGTCGGCAGACGGACAAAGTTGGACTCCTCGTACTCCCGGCGTTCGTCCTCGACCTTGCGGTCTGCTGCCGTCTTGACCTTGCGACCGCCCGCGACAACGTTGGTACCGATGCTGGGCTCGGCCAACGGTGCCGTCGACAGTTCCGTCTCGATGTACTCGTCCATTGTCGCTGACTTTTGCGGCCTCTTGGTCGTCTTCTCCTTGCGCTCCGATGGCATCACCGTCGGCGCGACGCGGGGCGGCCTGTAGATGCCGTCCTTCTGCGCCGCAGCCACGGCCGTGGAGGCAGATGCCGGCTTGACAAAGGCGCCAGGTCGAGCCTGGAATTGCGCAGCGTCAATGTCGGCCTTGTCCTCCTCGTCGCTCTCGTCGTCTTCGTCGTCCTCATCCTCTTCGCTCTGAGACCCAGACTCATCCGAGTCGTCCGTCTTCTTCGTCTTTGCTGATGCCTTGCTCGTGATGGCCGCCCGCTCGGCGTCGTCGGCGGCGCGCAGGATTTTATCGATCTGGTAGCGAAGTTTCTCCTCAAGGGGGCGCACACCCTTTTCGAGGAAGAGGCGCAGCTCAACTAGCTTCCTGACAATCGGCTCCGTGGCGTTGTCGGCACCGTCGTCGTCGTTCTTGGCAGGGTTTTTCGCATTGCGAAGCTTGAGAAGGATCAGGAAGACGAGGTTCTGCAGGTAGGAAAGCAGAAGCTCGTTCTTGACGTCGAGTAGCGAGATGCCATTGTCCGACTGCTCAATGCCGGCAACCTTGGGCGCCGTGTCGAGGGCGGAGACGAGCGATTGAGTGAGTGATTCCAGCAACGCCGGAAGAGAACTTGGTGCGGCCATGGTGTCGTGTGTCTGGGCTGAAGTGCGACCCTCTGCCGGTGTTGTCTGTCGACGGTCGAGGTATGGCTGTGATGCTGGCTCTTGCCTGTGATTTTTTTTCCTTGGGCAGGAAAGAATTCACACGTTATCGATAAGAGCGGGATCGACAAACCCACATGAGACAGGGATGCCAGGCACTAACATGCCTAGTTTGACTGTTGCTGCATCCTTGACTAGCGCCGAAGATGACCCGATGCTAGGTACATACCACCTTTGACTGTGACTGGTGCCTTGTCTCAGCCTGACACCCGTGTGAACCAGCGTGAACCAAGGGGCAACTGACTAAGCCAACATTCTTGGGACGGACAGCTGTTCGAGGGAGCTTGCGCAACACGTACGAGTATCAGCAACCTGCCCTTGATTCAACCCATGCAAAGAGACGACAACGACGGCATTTGAATCCGCCATTCGACAGTCATTTACGCCAGGCCCTCGAGCTTACGACGAAATTAGACCTGCTTCTTGCGCAGCTTGAGCTCCTCGCGCCTCATCAGGCGTGTCTGGTGGATCTCTGGCTGTAAGCCATCCTGCTTTCAAGAAGGTAAGCGACGGATCCTCTAGCTCGTAATTCCGAGATGCGCCAATTCTGATCTCGACGATTTCTCTCTTGTGCTCCGTCATGTCATGATGGTCGGATAGGGTTTCAAGCTGACAATGCCGTTCTAGCTACTCTCCAACGCGACGCATCATGATGCACCCGACACTGGGCGCGCCCCTCGCGGCCGCCCTCCTCGCCCTCCCCCAGCTGGCTTCTGCCTTCTACCTCCCCGGTGTTGCGCCAACGTCCTACGAGAAGGGGGAGAAGGTCCCGCTCAACGTAAACAGCATCAAGCCCGTCGCCGCCATTTCCGATTCGAGGTTACACTCGGTCGTCTCGTACGAGTACTACCACCCTGCCTTCAAGTTCTGCCAGCCCGAAGAGGGGCCCCAATCCGTTTCCGAGAGCCTAGGCAGCATCCTCTTTGGGGATCGTATAATGACGTCTCCTTTCGAGCTGCTGATGCTCAAGGACGAAAAGTGCAAGCCTCTCTGTATCAAGAAGTACCCGCCGCCCGCTGTCGGCTTCATGAAGCGCCGCATCGAGCAGGGCTACAGCCTCAACTGGCTCGTGGACGGTCTCCCTGCGGGCCAGCAGATCCAGGACGACTTTACCAACACAACCTTTTACAACCCGGGGTTCCTCATGGGCGGCGTTGATGAAGACGGCAATATCGTCTTCAATAATCACTACGACATCAACATTGAGTACCACCCCGTCAGCGGAAGCACCAACCAGTATCGCGTCGTCGGCGTCATCGTTGAGCCCAGCTCGCGTGCCTACCCAAACTTGATCGACTGCAACAACCCGATGGACCCCATCGTCTTCGAAGAAGATGGCAGCGAGAAGGAGGTCAAATTCTCTTACAGCGTCTACTGGACCAAGTCTGAAACCGCCTGGGCCACGCGCTGGGACAAGTATCTTCATGTCTTTGATCCCAAGATTCACTGGTTCTGGCTGATCGACACTGCCATCATTGTCGTCATCCTTATCGGCACTGTGGCCTCGATTCTGGTGCGCGCCCTGAAGAAGGACATTGCGCGCTACAACCGCCTCGACCACATCAACCTCGATGACCTCTCGGGCACCGGTATCGACGAAGACGATGGCGTGCAGGAAGACTCTGGCTGGAAGTTGGTGCACGGCGATGTGTTCCGCACCCCCAAGTACCCCCTGCTGCTTTCCGTACTGCTCGGCACTGGCGCCCAGCTGTTCGTCATGACAGGCTTCACCATCTGTTTCGCCCTGCTCGGCTTCCTCTCTCCCTCCAACCGTGGCTCTCTTGGCACTATGATTCTGCTGCTGTACACTGTTCCTCGGGTTTGTCGGCGGCTACGTCTCGTCGAGGACCTACAAGGCCATGCAGGGCGAGAAGTGGAAGGTCAACATTGCCATGACGCCGCTTCTCGTGCCCAGCATTGTCTTCGCCTCCTTCTTCCTGCTTGACCTCTTCCTGTGGGCCAAGCAGTCCTCGGGCGCTGTTCCCCTGACCACCATGCTCATCATAATTCTCATTTGGTTCATCATCTCGATCCCGCTGTCCGTCGCTGGCTCGTGGCTCGGCTTCCGTGCCAGCGCCATCGAGTCGCCCGTCCGCACCAACCAGATCCCCCGTCAGGTGCCCCCTGTCACGACATACCTCAAGCCCGTCCCTAGCATGCTGATCGTCGGTTTGCTGCCATTTGGTGCCATCTTCGTTGAGCTCTACTTTATTATGAGCTCAGTGTGGTTCAGCAGGATCTATTACATGTTCGGCTTCCTCTTCCTTTCGTATGGCTTGATGGTCGTCACCTGCGCCGCCGTCACGATCTTGATGGTATACTTTTTGCTCTGCGCCGAAAACTACCACTGGCAGTGGCGCTCCTTCCTCGCTGCCGGAACCTGTGGTGGCTACATTTTCGCCAACTCGCTGCTCTACCTCGTCACCAAGCTCAAGCTGGGCAGCTTGGCCGGCGGCGTTCTCTACATTGGCTACAGCGCGCTCATTTCCTTCCTCTTCTTCATCCTCACTGGTACGTCTCGTTGCTATCTGTACATGACGATCGTTTCATGCTCATATTTTATTCAGGATCAATTGGCTACTTTGCGAGCTGGTGGTTCGTGCGCAGGATCTACGCTTCCATCAAGATTGATTAGAAGGAGGCATGACAAAAAAGGGGTAAAAGTCATCGGATGGGGCCGAATCGGCAATGGGACTTTCAGCAAGCGGCTGGGTATGTGTGTACGACCAACTTCTGTATGACGGCGTTCTTCGTCGGCGTCGGGCGCGCACAGGGGTATGCTACGTTGGCTGCGGTTCGCGTCTGGCGGGGGACAACATGGGCGTGGTATGGAGTTTTCTTTCTTCTTTCTCTGGTTCAAACGACGTCATTGAGGAAGCGTGGCTGCCTGGAAACCATTTCATGACTGAACTTAGACGTTCAGGAGGAAGCAATAGATCACAGCCATGTTGGTTGCTCCTTGCATGTATCATTATTGGATGATCTATTTTCCTGTTTGCCACACTCAAGGGTGAGGTCTAAGTCTAGTCGTCATCGTCGTCGTCCATGTCCATACTAGTAAACTGGAACTGCGCATTCTTGCCCGCGGCGGGGCGCGGGCGACGTCGCAGACGGCTCGGGCTTCTGCGCGGCCTCGGCGGCGCGCCGACGCTGGTTGGCCTCCCACTCCTCTCTCTTGCGGCGCGTCTCCTCGGCCTTGCGGCGTTCCAGCTCGGCCTTGGCCGCCTTGTCCTCTTCCTCGCGGCGCTTGGCCTCAGCGGCGACGGCGACAGGGTCGTAGCCACGCGGGTCGATGCCGCGCTCCGAGAGGTCCTGGCACGCGGCGAGGGCGCCGCCGCCAATCTGGTACTCGTTCGGCCACGGCAGGAAGATGGTGCCGTGGTTGGCGTCGAGGTGGTCGCGGAGGCCTGAGGGCAGAGCTGTCGTGATGCCCAGCGGAGCACCGGACGGGTTGTCACCTGGTGCTGCGCCTGGCTGCTCGGGCGGCTGGGACGGGGCGCCGTTGAGGCCCGATGGGTCGGGGAGCTGCTGCGGGGTCGGTGTCGGGGCGGCGGGCGTCTGGGCTCCTGGCGTGGGCGCGCCCGGCGTCGGTGCACCTGAGGGCGTCGGCGCAGCGCTCGTCACGGCGCTCTGGACGCCGTTGGTGACGGCGCCTGCTGGTGGGTCCTCGGACGTGGCCGGTTCGAACATGACGCCGTTTGTCACGCCTGCCGGGGGCAGAGTCGTCTTGCTGATGCGGCGAGCATAGTTGAGGAGCTCCTCGTACTTGATGGGATAGTGGTCCTCGTCTCCGTGGACGGTAATGTGGGTGGTGGTGATGTCTCTCCGGGTGGATGCGAGGGTGGAAAGAGTTTCACGAATCTGGGCGTCGAGAGCCGAGGATGTGGTTCGGAGTTCTTGCAGGCGAAGATGGTTGTTCTGATGCTGCTGAACTGTACAGAGCGGTAAGCAACTGCTGCTGATGCCTCGCAGTGGGTTCAACCGTGGCTCGACGTACCTAACTCGAGCCCTCGGGAGAGCTCCTTGTCTGCCTCCTGCAGGTCGAGTGCCTGCTTCGCGTACGGGTGATACTTGGAGACGGACTCGACGAGGCTGGCGAGCGCCTTTTCGACGCGCTCGAAGCGGGCGTCAATGAATTCGTCCATAACGGGAACGGCTCGGCTTGCATCCGTCAGAGGCCCTGACGTGTCTAGTGTGGGAGGTCGCAGCTTTATTATCGGATTTGAGGATACAGGCAAACAGGTTAGCGCCGGGTTGATTCAGTAGGCAGGTATCTGGTATGCATATCTTAGTTATTTATGTGTAGCTAACGGGGACTCAATATCCTGCATTAAATGCATGTCCATCTTATCCGCAAGTTCTACCCGCGCACTTGCTTGGTCGAGTCTCCGCACCTGTATCAGTCGAGACCCAAAGTCGTCAATCTTGGTTGCCATTCCTTGACCCAGTATGGCTGGACTGATCGTGTCGTGGGTCGCACCCACCATGCTGACTTAACAATGGCCAGCGTTGCAGGTGGCACCGATGATGAAGACGAAATGCAGGGACCAATGACTGTTCTTGCCGCAGAAGTATTCACTGGTAACGCAGGCGTTGTGGGACTTTGCTTCTTTTCGAGCCATTACCACGTTTGAACACACTTCGGGGAGTATCCTCGGTTCTCCTCCCGGTAACAGGCACATACCTTCCCTCATTGAAGACAGCTCTCCGGTGGAAGGCGCACGGGGTACTGAGTCTGTATGTCAGAGTGGCAGCTAATGAAGTGGATCGAAGACCTCAGCTCTACATGGAGTGATAATGGTACATGTTCTAGCTCACGCTCACTGTGTTACGGTATCTGCTTGATATTTCCACATGTGAAACCCCAATCTCCGACAGCAACAAAGTTCTTATGCCCTGCATTCATCGCAACACAAACGCCGATCGGAACTCATTAATGAAAAAACACGTAAAGTGATTCAGAGCTGCTCGATAGACCTCTTCACAGCCATCTCGGACAAATTGAACAAGCAGGCAAAACTACCCCAGCGTCGGCTGGGCTAGCAGCCTCATGCTCTCGACGAGGCTGATGAACAGAAGGAAGCGCACAGACCATAACATAATCGGACCTCTTATGATTGGCTTAAAACCCACC